TCCAAAGGTAGTTTAGTTATTAATTCTGTTGAGAAGGCTTATATTTAGAAAAAATGTAAGTGCTTTTAGTTTCTGAGTTAGAAGAATTAGAATTGTTAAAAAGAAGTCGACTGCTTCAAATCTTCTGCAGAGGTGCATCTCTGAGAGTGTAGAAATGAGTTTTGGTGCTCCAAACTCTTTGTGACTATTGACCAAGTAGTCTACTTTCTATCTTATTTACAGTATTTTAACTTTTAAACGATAAAAAATTTTACAGGTACTACGTCGGCAATAAATTGATCAGCAAAAAGTTTGTTTTTGAATATAAGGATTTATGTATTAATCATCTTTTCTATTCTGAGGAGAATTTTGATCTTCCGTAGTACACAGAGCTTTTTTCTAAGCTGGACGCTAATGGACGATCGAATTAGCTGTTAGATTGGTTATACTTATTTGTATCAGAGGAAAATCGTACCGATGGTAGGAGTTAATTGTTCTCTTTACAAAAACATTGGGAAAGAAACAGTCTCACCACTCTTTCTGACCGTTTCGTTGTCTGCTTGGAGTATCGTGTCTTTGCTATGACAACTGAAGCTGAGCGCGAAATTGGGACTGAAACAGTTCAGTCCGACATTCATTGTTATTTTCAATTTCTACATTCAAGAACCAAACAGTCACACTATTATATATTCAGAATTTTGTTTAGTTTCAAAAATTGGTCCTTCCAATGTATGACAATTAAATATTTTATCAGTCAGCTCCAAAATGGACGATATCTCTATAATTTCTGGCTAAGGCTATTGATGGCTATTTTTATCATAACACTCAAAGAAAGAAATTGTATTTCTCTTTTCTCTTCTGTGCTTTCCCCACCAACCTCTGTTCACAGAGACACGAATATTAACACAACAGAAGCTTTTCAGTCCATCTGGGATATCTTCTATAAATAGTTGGATATGATTTCTATAGCGTTCATACAGTCAACGATTATTCTTACCGTAAACAGCTATCTACTTTTCTTCTCATCTATATATATCATGCACCGTGTAATTAAATTTTCATGTTTGGCCATACTTTTATTTACACTAACGATCGGTAAGACAAATCCATTTCACGAATAGCTAAGTAACTGATAGGTATTCTTTCAGCTAAGAAGAATGATTGTAAAGGACAAACGGGTAGTCAAATTCATTGTATATATCCGAATGGTGATGTATATGATGGAGCATTAGTGGACGGTTTGAGAGAGGGTAATGGTGTGTTTAAAGGAGTAGACAAAAGTGAATATGATGGTTTTTGGTCAAAAGACAAAAAAAATGGAAATGGTGTGTATCAGATCGGTAATGGTGATCAATATGTTGGAGAGTTTGTTAACGGATTGAAACAAGGAAAAGGTGTGTTTACATGGAGTAATGCTGATCAGTACGATGGAGATTGGGTAAATGACAAAATGGAAGGTAACGGACTGTACTGGGCGGCAAATGGTGATATGTATGATGGAGAATGGAAAAATGGTAAAAAGAATGGCAAAGGTGTATCGACAAATGCGAACGGTGTAAAAACCCAGACTGAATGGATAAACGGTGTACAAAAGGAAAGTAAGTTTAATTTGTAATTGAAACTGCTTGGTGTATTCTCGTCCGAAATACACGAGAATACAGAAATATATACAAACATCATATACTGGGCTTGGTGTACTCTGCCCTAGTGCTTTTTTGCTCAAGCACATGAGAAAAGGGTATACCTCAAGACTTGTCTCCATGCACATGAATTTCTTACTCATGCAAAACGCTTGAGGTATGTGCTTGACTTTCTTGTCTCAAGCGCTTGAGTTGCTTGAAGAATGCGCATGAGGGAAGGAATATGTAAAACAATGTGCATACGAAAAGAATCTCATGTAGATACCTCAAGAAACGTCTGTGTATATCTTGAGAAACTCATATGCATACCTGAAGAAAGTCATGCATTATCGATTTTCCGCGCTGTAAGTAGGTCTAGTTTCGTTTTTAAGACTTGATTACACCACGTTTTACTCTTTTTTCGAGAACATGATGCAATCAGTTTTGCGGTCATCTAGCACTTTCTCTATGCCATAATTTTTATGTACAAAGGAAAAGAAGTCGTCGTTGATGAAAAGTTCAAAGCGAGCACACAGCAATTTTGACTTTCTACTATTCACTCCTTTTGATCGCGAAATAAAAGTGAGAAAGATAGATGTCTTTTAAGGTGCGCCTGTGAGTTTTACCGATAAGGTAACGTTTACCGGATGTGAAAACATTCACGCTTGGACCTCGATCTTGCACAACCAATATCTTTAACTAAGCCGACACAACGGGCAAGGGACCTTAGATTCGATACATCATCTAAGAAAGACTTTTCATAACTGTTAATGAGAAAGGTAGTTCAGTTTTGTGACAGAAAAAATGCAGGACGATGTGCAGGAACTCTTTCTTCGTCTCAAATTGCTGTCTACTTACTTCGAAGTTAAAGGTTCAAATTATTTAACTTTTTATCCTTTTTTATGACAAATCAATATCAGAACGCAGTTTAATACATACAAAAAATGCTAGTAAGAATAGTCTTCATCTTCACAGTACGTTAAAAAAGAAGAAATAGCTATGTATACAATATGTATTATTCTCTTTAATGTATAGGACGTCCACATGTCTCCTATACACAGACACGTCCGGTGCTATACGTACAGTCATGTGCTTGAGGAAAAAAGCTTCACTACAGTGGTTTGCTTGAAACGTTCTAAAATTTCACTCACATGGGAGTTTATGTTGTTTCCAATACAACGACGCACCAAGCCCAGCACGTTTTCAGAAAATAGTTCTTTTTCTGAGAATGTGCTACATACTGACACTATATACTATATTCTAACATCCCTGCATAGTGCTGAATACATTGCAGTTCCGGAAATCTGGTTAAAATCTATGTTAGTTGAAATAACGTATTTTTCCCTATTGTTGAGTAAAATTTAAACATTCACAACCGCGTGAAGATCCATCCAACTTATGTCAGAATATCAAGATCTACTCTATTTTAGCTGCTCAGTACGATTAATTACTGGAGAATAGTAAGAAACACTCTTGTAGTTCGGAAGATTTCTGGAAAACCTTTACAAAAATCAAAGTATTTTATGTTGATTTGTGAATCTTTTATTGAATTGCATAGTATTGAGCAGGTAAAAGACATCTTGATTTTCGGACATAATTTGGATGGGTCCTCACTAGGTTATGACTTTTTTAATCATGAATTTCAATCGACTTTTTGTACACTCAACAGAATCGGTCCAAATTTTCTGAATAGCTTATTGAATGATTGTACGGACAGCAAAGTATCTCTTTATTCAAATCACTTTTCGCATTTTGGCGCGAACAGTGGCCTCACTGTTGGTGAAGCCGATTTTGCGATACTGATTACACAAAAACTGTAATTAAAAGTTCTAATTAAAAGTTCAGTTTGTTCTCATTTTGGAGAAAACACGTTGGACTATCGAGAGAAAAAAACTGATAATTTGCTATCTCAGTTTCCAGAGACCCGAATTGGTTTCTTGAAAAATCTTTCTGCACAACCGATGGAGACTCAATGAAAGTAGTTTTTTCTAGCACAGTGCTAGCTGTAGGCAAGTAAGACATCCATTTCACGAATAGCTAAGTAACTGATAGGTATTCTTTCAGCTAAGAAGAATGATTGTAAAGGACAAACGGGTAGTCAAATTCATTGTATATATCCGAATGGTGATGTATATGATGGAGCATTAGTGGACGGTTTGAGAGAGGGTAATGGTGTGTTTAAAGGAGTAGACAAAAGTGAATATGATGGTTTTTGGTCAAAAGACAAAAAAAATGGAAATGGTGTGTATCAGATCGGTAATGGTGATCAATATGTTGGAGAGTTTGTTAACGGATTGAAACAAGGAAAAGGTGTGTTTACATGGAGTAATGCTGATCAGTACGATGGAGATTGGGTAAATGACAAAATGGAAGGTAACGGACTGTACTGGGCGGCAAATGGTGATATGTATGATGGAGAATGGAAAAATGGTAAAAAGAATGGCAAAGGTGTATCGACAAATGCGAACGGTGTAAAAACCCAGACTGAATGGATAAACGGTGTACAAAAGAAACGTGAGTTTAATTTGTGAGGAAACTAACCAAACTGACATTTTGTTATATTTAGATTGAGAACCAACCATCAAGTGTGTCGTGGACTGCCAAACACTAGTTTTTTTATTATAAATAGTGAATTAAATTTTTAATAAAAGTAATGTAATGGTTGAATATGCACTTGAATTTTCACGGTTCGTCTCGACGACTTAGTCTGGCTTAATTTGACTTGGCTTGAGACTTTCACGACTGTCATTTCTAGTGAGATTGTCGTTTAAAATAGGTGTTTTACCACGAAACAGTTTCTGAAACTATAATAACTGTTACTCAAAAGGCGCTAGCAAATTTTATGTTGTCTAATTTTTAATTAGACCTAACTTGACTCACGAGAAAACGTTTTCTTATCTTTGCTTCAGGAGACGAACGCCATTGAGAAAATTCAGTTATGTTGCTTCGTTTACTTAATATTGAAGGTATTTGTTCTAGTCTGCTTCACTAAGGCGCATCTCTAAGTATGGGCCTTACACCTTTTCTATGAATAGGCTTAACTTCGGAACGGAATATGAGCGTCGTTTAAAACCGCAAAAAACATTCTGAATCCATGGAAAAATATGCAAACAACCATCATAATCAGTTCATTGTTCGTCATTTGTTGTTTCACTGAAGAACCAGTGACATGAGCCTGTTCTAGAAGTCTGCTCATAGCTTACATTCATCTTTATATTTTTACGATTTAGTTGAAGGATCAACAATTTTTTCTTCTACTATAACTCAAAATTCTGAAGAATACTAACAAACTATGGTTTGACTAAGTCTCTTAGGTATTCTGTTTTTATTGTTTAATAAAGTTCGTGTGTATAATTTACAAAAGTTTTGGATTAAAACTCAAAACAGACTAACTTGTAGTACTTAATTTTATCGTCTAAAGCCGATTAACTCTGCAATCTCACGTTCAATATGTGTTGCGTACGTTTGAGCTCGTTTCTTTGTTTTTTCGTTGGCTCAGGAACAGAAAAAAATAGTTATAAAAAATACTACAATAATTAATTATTTCTTCAATCTTAAAGAGTCAGATACAACATTTTAAAATTCTAAAGGCTACAGTGCATTGTGTTCAACGAGATGTGGCTTGTCTTTGTGTCATGAGATCTGGCTTCCTCAGCGTATTATATTCATTTCTGAATACCAGCTCGTCATTCAATCATCTCTTTTCGTCTTTAGTTAGAAAATTAAAAACATTATACAAAAACTGAATGGCGTATTTTTTGTAGCTCTTGTTAGAGCGTATACAAACTATGTTTTCTTAGGTCTGGCATAACCAAAGAGAAAAAAATAATCGAAAAATACTCTTATTCTGAGTATAGTTTTATTTTAAGTTTTCTAAGGTGCCACCAATGCGAAATTCGAGTAAAAAGTTTTTTTTCGCACACACCATTTGATAGAGCGTGAGCTGCCGTTTTTCGAGAAAAACACATCTTTTTCGAAATGTGCAAAATTTTCTACTTTATCTTAGGCGAAAAAAACTTTTTACTCGAAATTTGAAGTGCCTGCACCTTACACATTTTCAATAAAAGCCTATCGGATGCAAGAAAAGAAATGAGCCTTTCAGTATTTGACATTTTTCTCGACTCGCGAGAGTTAAGTGTTTATTCGAAAGATTCGGCATGTAATTCTCTGCAAGAGTCTGTGAAAAGTTTGTATAAAAAATGGAATGGTAGGAGATTACAGAAAAAGTGTTCCGAGGCTCTTAAAGTTGTTAAAGTAGGTGAGATTTATTTCTTGAATTGTTCCACCATCAAATAGGCTGAAAATGCTTTTTTGTGCACTTTTAAGTTCGCTGTTTCTCGTCGTAGTAGTTGACTATCGTTTAGAATAAAGTCTGTGTCCTAGAGGTGTCCTTTGGAATCAAGATAGAAAAAAGCGAAATTTCGCGTTGTCTTCGTGCCCAGCATTGTACACCGACTGTATATCTTTATCTGTTGGTGGATACGATGGATTTCTCTCCAGAATAACAAAAATCTGAGCTGGATACTTGGCATTGATCAAATTAAAGATTATTTATCAGAAATCTAGAATTTATGAAATCAACGAGTGGGTTTTTTTCGAAACCTTAAGTAAGGAAAATTTTTTTCATGTTATTCGGCAGACTTTAACAAGAAAAATTCTAATTATAGCAGGACGATAGAACTTTTCGAGGCCTACAAAAGGATTAATTAACTGTTTACTTCTCATAAGCGATCGGCGAATAAAATGTTCTTAGACTAGCGTTCGTTAATACTTTTCCTGTTCTTGTCATTCCATTTCTCACAAAAACTTTTCGCAGTCTCTTGTAGAGTATTAAATGCTGAATGTTTTAAAAAAAAGCCTAACTCTCGCAAGTCGAAGGGACCCGAGATAATAACAAATGCTGGAAGGCTCATTTCTTCTGTGACACTTGTTAAATGTACCACTCGATAGATTGCTTCCAGCTTTTCTTGGGGCGCAGTAGCACAACTAACACATCTAAGAATAAAAATATTCCATAGAACAACGTAAACATAAACGCTAAGTTTCCAGTTTTATTTTTGTGTTCATATGCTAATACTTTATTAATGAAAAAGGTAACATGCTCAACGAAAACGTTTATAATATGGTACAATGACTACAATTATAACAATAATTAGTGCAATTGTGCTTAAAGTAACCAATCCATTATAAATTCCCGTTGCTATACTCCATCCTTTAGCTCCACTGTGATTCCCTGATCTTTTATGATTTCTTACGACTAGTGACATCGCTACTGCGACCAGACCGAGTATAATACCACCGAAAAAAATGTTGAAAATTGACCAACAGAGAAAATCAGGTGCTTTACTTATATTTGTGGAAGAAGGAACGAAGACCGGTTGAACATGTTGACCAGAATAATAAATATTAGAATTATTGGGATATGCCACATTTGTTGTCATAGGTGTTGTATTATTTCCATACGATGGCGGTTGTGCATAATAGTTCGAATATGATGAAAATTGTTCAGTAGGATTGATAGCAGGATACTGAACGTCTACTCTTTTATTGTCCATTTTTCTTAATGATTTCTACACGATAGATGAAACGTGTAGATAATTAATTATAATATTTTGAATCAATAGATGGTGACAACAGAATAAAGATTAATAAACTAGTTGATATGGAATTATATTTTTAAGTGTATGAGCTACACATAACTTCTTACTTTTAAGCAATCGAAAAAGTATATTAAGTATGTAGGCTGTATTTATTTTTCCTTTTTAGAATAATTAATATAAAAAAATCTTTTCTAGATATCATTGCTCAATGAATCATCACTCGTCATGTCCACTAGCTTTACTCCTACGATGATATCTTCTAAACGATTTACGATTGATTCCAATAAAAATAGAAGAGAACAGAATAGCAAAAGACAATATTTACATTGTATAAAGAATAGAGAGGTGGAATGTAGATTAAATAGTAAAAGAGAAGGTATTTATGTTAAATTCAATACCGTGAACTATTAATAATCAAATATATCAAATCTGTGTGGTGGTAGAGTATAATGATTAATCATCTGATTAAAGGTTTTACTCAATTTAAGAAATGTCATCGTACTGGGATACCTCGTACACTTTATGTTAACGCTTTAATTCGCTTTATTCCGAAATATAAATTTAGTATAATCATGTACCAAATTATTATACAAATATCACTGACACTTTTTCGTAAAGATGGTGAGTTTCGTATGTAGTGAAATCAGCCACACCCATTAATTATATCTCATATAAGAATTTAAAAATGTATTTTTATTGACTTTAGGATTTAAATTTGAAGTTGTAATTCATGTCAGTCACGTCAGTTAATAATCTTAGACAACGTCCTATGCACTTCTTATCTATTTCCTACTAGGATCCTACATATTTAGGACCTATTATGATCAGTTTAGGATCCTAATCAGTTCCTAGCAGGATCTTCGATATTAGGTTCCTCCCAGAAATCCGGAACGGATGCTAACATTAATCCGTTAAAATCCTGTCAGTACTTTTTTTCTTAATAAAGAAGGATAGATAATTTCAGGTTGAAATAATAAGATATATACTTAGGGCATACCAAAAGTAGTGGCAGTGGTATTTTTATCCCTTATAGAAAGGTTAAAGAAACTTTCTTTTTATATAGTCTGATAGAGAAAAGAATGTTCTATTTTTCTATGCTATTTGATC